TCTGTTCACATAGCCTTTTGCTACATCTTCTGGCACCGAGCGTGTGAAAGAACAGCTGGCTGTGCCAGGCACCTGCTTAATAAGGGAAGACTTAAAGATTTGTGGGATGATAGATACAATATTTTTCATTCCATTGAGCATGGGTAGAAAAAAAAATCTGAGATTCCTGTCAATGGTGGAGCACTGAAAATAAAATTATTCAGCCTCCTTGAGCAAATTCACAGAGGCCTGGAAGCTTGCCACCTTTTTGTTTATGCATGCAAATTAGGAATTATGCAGAAGAGCTATTTGATTCTTGTTTTATTTTTGCTTAATCAGTTGTCTGCATGTTTGTACAGTTCAGTCACTGTCACTTGTGATTGTTCCTAGTATGACATGGCAGAGTTTATCAAGAGGTAGGGTGTGTAAAGGAAGCAATCTCCATTTGAGAGGCAACAGGGTGAGACATACAGCTATGCCCTGAGGGGCAGGAGGGGTAACATATTCTTTTGGAAGTATTCCCTAGAGTTATGTGGGAAGTGTTCTGTTTTTAAGTCTTTTAAGTATAATTACAATAGGTTCATCCACAATTTACAGTAGCTTCAGGATGCCAAGATTCAGATACTCAGCGTCCCCAAAAGCTGCTCCTTGAAGACTACTATTAAACCTATCTCGTGTTAGTTCAAGCGCCATCAAGTCAGGAAATGTGAATCTATGGCAAATGCTTTCACCAGTGTGCTTTGTGATCAAGTGATCAAGAATATTTCATGTGAAGTATTATAATTTCTAATTGCTTAAAGATAGCACATGATGCCTGTGTGTGCACGCATGCAACACATACATACATTCATATTCACAGACAGAGAGGGAGGGGAGTTTTTTGATCTTTCAAATGGGGAAAAAGACCAGCAAAGATGCCCATGTTGCTTTATAAAGCATCTTATTGTGTTGGTAGTATCTTGTGACTTTGCCTCTATCTATACTTACCCTAGTAACTTACCGGATAAATTACACGGGAGATGGAGATCTCCTCTGATGCAGTAGACTGAAAGTTCACTTCATTTGTTGAGTTAGGATGTGGCACTTGTAACTGCTTTACTAACACAGTTGACATCGTTTTTTGTTCATTCTCTCTCACTTTCAAATATTCTATTCACTCCATTTGACCAATGTTCAGAAATGTTTTTGCACCAACGTAGTTTTGCTTGCATAAAATATATCAGCAGTTTTTACTAAAAATGCAGTATGCATCTTGAAAATAAAGCAAAAAGGTAAATGCATCCAGTCTTGGACTATTAAACTTCGTGTAGCTGTGTTTGTTGGATATGCTTGAATTTTGAGGCTCAAGATAGTGGTATTTTTTGAATTATTATTTTCAGTAAAAGTTATTTTGGAGTTATGCATCAAGGTTCAATACATGTATTTACTGCTAAATAATTGTTCCCTGATCAGTATTGTGTCTGTCTGTATGTGCAAGTCTGTAAAGGTAAAGGTAAAGGTTCCCCTTGACAATTTTTGTCCAGTCGTGTTCGACTCTAGGGGGCGGTGCTCATCCCTGTTTCCAAGCCATAGAGCCAGCGTTTGTCCGAAGACAATCTTCCGTGGTCACATGGCCAGTGCGACTTAGACACGGAACGCTGTTACCTTCCCACCGAGGTGGTCCCTAATGATCTACTTGCATTTGCATGCTTTCGAACTGCTAAGTTGGCGGGAGCTGGGACAAGCGACGGGCACTCACTCCGTTGCGTGGATTCGATCTTGCAACTGCTTGGTCTTTTGACCCTGCAGCACACGCTTCTGGGGTTAGCCCGCAGCGCCACTACGTCCCTTACGTGCAAGTCTGTAGTTGTTGTTATATGCTGTCACATTGCCTCCATAGAGTAACCCTATGAATGTATGATCTCCAAAATGTCCTGTCCTCAATTGCCCTGCTCAGCTTTTGTAAACTCAACAGTTTCAGATATGTACATGTAGGGTTTCTTTATTATGACAATTGTTAGTGATATAATGCCTATCTGTGTGCTAAGTGTAGAGAAGCCTTCTGCACTGTTTTTTGAGATCACTGCTAGGGAAGGCTAGAACAGTATAAAGATGGGGACGAAGTCTCAGTGCATCATAACTTCACAGTAAGGATGCAATGCTTTGCTTGTTTTCTGCAAGGTGAGGTTGGTGGTGAGATAGGCAAGGGCATTCCTGGTGCTATCAATAGTTTGTCATTGGCACAAATAATGCTTTGTTTTACATTGTTTGTTATGTCTACAGATTGCCTGCCTTTATCCAAAATTGTCATTTTCATTTCATTTTATTTTTTTCAGTGTAGTGAATGTGCACAGATTGCTCCAAACCAGGATTATTGCTGTTTTGTTTAAGAATTTGAAGCACTGGATGGGGTGTATCCATAATTTTGCTTTCAGTCAGTTCTTCTATGCCCGCAAAGTGTGTACATGCATGCATATCCTTTGCTGGAAACCAAAGATGTTCTGTGCAAATTACAGAGACTAGTTGGGAGAAAAGCCCCTTTGTTTTGTTCTTGGCTGAAGGCAATACATTTTGCAGGGTCTAAAAATTCTTTGATGTGACATCTCCTTATGTTGAGAACATTTTCCCCCATCCATACACCACATAAAACATTTTACTATTTACATGTATGAAAGTACTAAGTAAAGGAGGAGTTGGTAAAGACCAGCCGTGGGATCACATCCAGCCTTCAACGCCCCCAGCCCTTCTCCTGCCCCCCCAACCACTGAGATTCTCACCTCTGAAACTAAGAGGTGTTCTCTGGAATGATGCCTTTTCCCTGTAAATGAGATCCCTGGTCACTACACGATACCAACAAGGCCTTGCCTCCTCCACTTACGTAATGCTATCCCAGATTTGGTTTCTTGGCTTTGGTGTGTTACAACTGCTGTATGACCATCCCTCATTGAATGCTAATTGCCTGTTAATAGTTAGTTGTATGCCCTAAATGGGAGTTAATGATTGGAACTCTTGTTTCCTGCTTTGGAAACAGGACACCCTTCTGCTAATGACAGCTGGCAGATAAGCAGTATAGTTCAAATTCTACACTTTGAAAAGAGAAAACCAGACAGAGCTGGGTTATTTGAGCTGGAATTTTCTTAGTAGCCCAGAAGCAGTTGAGGATGGAGAGGTCTAGGTTTTTGTTTTGAGAATCTGATGTATGATCTGCAGTTCTGCTGTCTGTTGTAAGATTCTGTTTTTTTCCCCACTGTGTTCTGTTTGGATCTCTCTAAATCAAACAAATACTGTACTGCAAGAAGAACATAAGTCTCTGGCCTTCCCTTACCCAACTGTCTAGCAGAAATAGTCATATGGCACCTATAAGACTCACTCGTCTTTGTTTTTCCTAAGCTTTCATAAGCAGACTTATTGAGATGAATGGAGGGATCATATTCCTGGGCAGAGTATAAAACCATTGGCAGTTTAAATCTGCTGACAGTTCTTGCAAGGTTGATACATCTAAACTGGCTAGCAGCACCCTAGACGTCTTAAATTTCAGGGAAATTGGAAGTTT